ATTTCTCATTTTCCTACCAACCTCTTAACTTATGAGTCCCTAACTCTTATAAGTTGAGTAATCATTTCAAACTTACAAAACATAATTGAATTCATACAAAATTTTTTAAAATAGTAATCAAATGATATAGAAACAATATACACTACAATTCAAGAATGAATTAATTTAGAGTTACGTAATTAAATTTAAACAAATTAAAAACTAAAACTTTAAGCTTTGAAATTTATATTTTTTAAATTAAATTACGTATTAAAAGTACTATCAAGTTGAATTATTTATTTATTTTTAAACAAATAATTAAAAGACAGACTCAAAACTCACTCACAAAAAAAAAAAAGCACTTCAAAATAATCGAATGTCATTTTACCCGAAAGAATAGGTGAACTTAATACAGTACACTTCAATTAATAAGAAAAAATATTTTTTTTTACTAAAGTTATATAGTTACAAACTTGTATTTCTATTTTTTACATTTTTTTTAACGTAATTTTCATCTCTGGCATCCCATTACAAGTTTGAAATTAGAATTAAAATGGAAAAAATAAAAAGATGACAAAAAAAGAGGTGGAACCTGTACGGTACCACCCCTCGTTTTCGACGTCCATTTGCAGTTTTGCGCACCACATTGCCTCCTTTTTCTCTTTCTCTTGGAAAAATATATTGTTCCATGCGCTTCGTTCGGATCTCACATTCTCCTCCTTTCTTCTCCCTCCTCCCTTTTCCTCCTCTATTTCATCTCTCCCTAGCTCCATATCGAGACTTCGAGCTCTGACTCCTTTGCTCTGCGCTCTCCATCCGTCCAGCCACAATAACCCAAACCCCACATTCCCCTTTTCTTCTCAATCTCCAGATGTGAAGAAGCTGTTCCCCTTCTTCAATCGGAAAATACAGAAAAGCAGTAATGGAAAATATAGTGGCGCAACTCAAACGGGGCATTTCCCGGCAGTTCTCCACTGGGTCGATCATGCGGACCTTAAGCCGCCAGTTCACGCGGCAGACGTCGCTGGACCCACGGAGGAACAACCAACGGTTCAGCTTCGGGAGGCAGTCCTCGTTGGATCCCATTAGGCGGAGTCCTGTACATGACAAGCTTACGATCCCTGAGAACCTCGACTTCACCATGCAGTTGCTCTTCATGGC